TTCCTTGTTATTCCGTAGTCGAGCTGGGAACCAACCTGGAAACTTCGCTGATTAAAGTTACCTTTATATCCCAAAAAACATATTTTTCTTCAAAGTAATTGGATATATTTTAAAAATAGCTAATAGGAACCAATAAAATTTGCTTTTTTCGTATTCTTATTTTTTTAGGTTCGAATGTTGGGTACAAGTTTTTTTTATCATCACTATACTATTCAGAGAAGGATTCGATGGGCAAACTACGGAAATCAAGATTTATCTTCACTAATGCACGTATTTTGTCTGAAAAAACTAGCTGTTTACGTTCCCTTTATTAGCATTTTTATTATTGGTGCATATTTTGGCCACATTACCGACGTCGATGCTCTACAAACTGTGTCCTTATGAAGAAGAGGGAAAGGTGGGGGAGGATAGGAAATGTTATGGTTTTGTGCAAAACGGGCGTCATCTAAGCAATGCAAGTAAGCAATTCACCTTTGCCTTCCTGGCAACCAAAAAAAGAATCTATAGTCAGAAGGAAAAATCCCTAAAAATGCTGGTAACTACATTACAAATATTAATGGGTTGTGTCATGACCACCGTGGGGAGTTGCCATACGTTTGGCCGACAAGAACGGGAATATTTACCGTATCTCCCAGAGCACGACGATAGTTAACTTGCACAACACGTAACACACTTCATTTGAAGAAGAGGACCTTCTTTGGGATGCAAAGGTCACTTTAACCAGTGAACTTTTGAGTCTGGTTCCCCAGCTCGTCTTTAGACTAACAGGAAAAATCACTGATTAAAGTTATCTTTATATCCCTAAGAATTCCCTCTTCTTCATACTTAATTCCTTGGGATGCGCTTATTCCAGTTTGATATGAATATGTAGTGGATCTTAACGCCACCGTTGACTCAGCACGCCAACGCGGCGGTTACGTTGATGGCCGGACCCTGGCCTGTCTATCGCTGAAGGTCTGAGCGACTGACGAACACACTCTTTCTCGCATACGCCCATAATGCGCCCATCACGCAGTCCAACCAGCGTTCCAAAGCGCTCTGGGCCAATTAGCTTCCTGAATAGCATTTTCGGTCCTCATTCAAGTTATGCACTGAGAAGGGACTAGGGATTCCGCCTTCGCGCATCGCGGTCTGCGACGCCGCCCCGTCCCACTAGCAACCTTTCCCCTAACTCTTCTGTAAACAATATACTTTTCCGTCTACTCCGCCTTCCCAAGACTTCTCTCATCTCCCAAGGGACCGGGCCCGGAACATTGTAGCTGTTAGAGTTAACCATCTTAGCCTTAAAACCTAAAGATATAACACGCATGCACTCTCTCTCCCCTCCTCTTCACCCACTGTGTTGAAGAAAAATGAAGGCTAGGTTGGCCGTAACATCAACCTCTAAAAACAAATGTTGTCAACTGGATGGAGAGCATATTTTGGCAAGAAATTATATATTGGCACCGCCCTCTCTCAATGCAATTTTATCGTTTCAATTACCAACAGGGCCTAGTAGGTGTACGAAGGATTTCTCAATTCATCTTCTGAGTAAAAAGGCATGCTGCCACAGAAATACACATGTCTTTTTTGTTGCTCCACAAACTGCGTCCTTACAAACGAAGAGGGAAACGTAAGGAGGGGAGAAATTGAGCTATTTTTGGACAAGAATGGCGTCACCTAAGCAATGCATCTAGCAAACAAAAAACAGAATGTACAATCAGAATAAAATGATGCATATTCTGCACGACCTCCTATATTGGCACACACCTCTCTCTCTGCACACTTTTTGCAGTGCTATCCCGTTGCTCACTTTTTAATCTTAAACTACTAGCGTCGTTTCGATGACCAACAGGGCTCACTAAGTACGCAATTCATGTCCTAATTAAAAATGCATGCCGTAAAGTATATTAAGACATTTGGAGGAAAGACGTCTAGTTTCAGCGGCTGGGTGGAAATCGATTTTTTCACGAACTGTAACACGCTTGAAACACGTGAACGAATTGACGCAACGGCTGTAAACACCACTGTGTACAACGTCTTCGGCGAATCGACTGTAAGTCCGCCTACATGTCTTAAACTGTTAACAGTCAATATGCAGTGCGCATATGGTAGCCGACCAGGTTAAACTCATTCCTCACAAAGATGCGAGGCCTTTGGCGCATCAGTGGGCTGCCAGTATGCCTCATCTTCTTTCACTTTTCAACGCGAGCGTCTACCAATAGAGGAGAATATCCAAGTTCCAGGAAGCAGTTCAGAAGAAGAAGAAACGATGATTGGAATTGAAAGTGAATTGAGAAACTCTTCGTACACCT